GTGTACCTCTCCACGACTGTCGAACGATATAACCGCATTGATGTGAGTATTAAATAATTAGCTGGCAATGGAGTAGAGTCAAAAAGCGTAGTTCATATTGAGTTAGTTGTTAAGGTAGTGAGTGGTTTGAGGAAACGTTGTGGCCAGTTCAGTGTAATTGCAATCTTATTCATCATGTAACTCAAATAATCAATCCAATGTTTTTATTATGGATTGACTGGAAGATTAAATTGAAATTATTTTTTTTGTTGAAGATATTTGGGTGATGGACGTTTTCATTTGGAATCAATTATGATTCACAATCCAAATATCAATGCATACCAGTACGATCCGTATTCAAGGTTTGTCTTTTTGCCTTCATATTATTCTTATTACTATGCTTNTATGCTTACGAAGCATTCTCTCTGATAAAATTTGGGAAGGCAAGACCAGTTTCTACGTACAAAAAAGTCTTCCTGCAGTGTCACTCTGTTGTTCCAGCAGAAATATTGACTCACTTTGGAAATTATTTATTCATTTCGTTAAAGGAAACTCACCCATGAAGTGTACGATTATGAGCGAATGTTGCAAATCAGAAGTGATGCAGTGAATAGAGCAAAAACGGCAAAGAAATTTGGTATAATTCAAGGAACACTCGGACGACAAGGGAACATTCGAATTGTTGAGGTTTGCGTTATCGGTTTTATTTGGGTGTGTTGATTCGATTAATATTGATTCGCAATGTCAGCTCCATTTATTTCATCGTTTGAGGAGTCTTTTCTGAGGTCAATCAATGCCGAGTAGGTCTCTTAATCTGTACTGTTACAATGAAAGTATTCCAATCGCAGATTATCTTCACTGAAATCCTGATCTGGGGTGTTCATATACGAACGAGTTCGAATGAGTGATCATGTTTCGCTTTTATATTACCTCTTAGTTATTACATTTTAAACGCTTCAACGAAGTCTGTGGATGAGTCTTTTAAGAATTTCCTTTTGAAGGTTCTTGAATCGAAATTACAAGCGGCTGGTATTAAGTTTGTACGTATTCTTCTGTCGGAAATATTCCCCGAAAAGCTGGCGTTATTCGATGATATCGATTGGTTGGTTCATTTTCATTATGTGTTCTTTTTTTTTCTGGCAGCGGGAAAACAAAATAACAAGATTGATCTCGTTTCATAGACTACCCAGACCCTTCCTACTTCTTCCCTCAACCTTAATCATTATCCCTTTTTTGGAGATGAGCGTTGTCACTCATTCATTATTATTTGACGGACAGCTCCAACTATAGCTTAATGATTGGTTAATGTACCAGCAAGTGTGTGTTAAACTTGTGCAAATATAAAAGTGTTTTATGACAATTATGTTCTTCACAGAACAGCGAATCCATTAGTGATGAAACTTTTTAAGTGTTCTCTCTAATATCGTTAGATTATCGTGATGAAA